CATCCTCTGTTCTGAGAGTAGATCTTCTGATTCCTCTGGGAAAATACAAGCTCTTAAACATGGATGGCTCATTTCCCCTTTCAGCGGATCTATCAAGCTGCTTTTGGCTATGCCCATATCTTCAGCTTTCCAGGTGATCCACCTCTCCCTCCCTTCTGCTCTGGGTCTTAATCCCTCAGCTGTCTTAGTGACTGACATCCTGCTACATTTTCTATTTCTCATAATCTATGAAGCCATCCCTTGCAGATCATTCTTATCAGGTTTTAGAGATGGTATAGTATATCTTAACCTTTAAAAATAGTCCTTCATTTTATTATGACAAAAGTGTATTTTAGTTTAATGTGAAAAGGATGTTTTATATAATAACCATGATTGTAAAACTGACTGTTCTTATGGCAGGAAGTAATGCAAGAATTCCAGCTTCAAAGCTTACACAAAAACACCAGAAAGGGAAAAAAGAAACCATAAACCCCTAAGAAGAAAATTTAAGAAACCATTTATAGAACCTAGAGTTTGAAAAGACCTTTTGATTAAGGGAGAATACCTTAGGAGTTTTAAAAGAAATAATTTAAAAATTCATCTATATAAAAATTAATTTTATGACAGAAGATGCCAAAAACAAAGTCAATAGATAAATAGAGATCAGTAGGAAATTTTGTAATGCCTATAACATATAAAGAATTATTGCTATTACTAATAATAATACATATAAAAAATATAAACAACCCAATTTAAAAAATGGGCAAAAGATATAAACAGGCCATTCAGAAAAAGCAATTCCAAGTCCACAATATGCAATAAACATGAAAGACATTTACCCTCCTAATGAGGAAAATGGAAGTAAACTAACAATAAATTATCACATTGTAGCATCAGATTGGCAGCAATTTAAAAAAATCCCAGTTAGATGGGATTTTGAGAAAAGGGCATCCAGTCAGACAGTGGGGAGGCACTGGCCAACCCCATTGCCTTCACTGTAAAAGTCAAAGTGCTCACAGTAACCTGCAGGGTTTTCTGTGATCTGGCCTTCCCCTGACCTTTTTGACCTTATCACTTATTCATGCTTTCCTAGGTTACATGCCTTCCTAGTAGCTTGGACATGCACAGCTGCTCCTGCCTTAGGGCCCTTGCACTAGCTATTAATATTTTCTCTACCAAGGCTACTTTTCTCCATCTTACTCAAATCTTTGTGCAAATGAGGCCAACCAACCCTGGCAGCCCCATTTAAAATTGTAGCTGTTCTCACCCTCTGTCCCCTAACATCCTGTACTCCATATCTCCCTTGCCCTACTCTTCTTTTTCTTTTTAAAAATTATAATATTATACATAAATACATAGCACAGATCATCATCCATGACCCTATATAATTTAGTTATGTTACATTCATTGTTTCTTTCTCTACCTCTCCCACATAGAATATAAGTTCTATAAGGTCAGGGATCTTTGTTTTGCTCGGTAACGTAGGCCAAACATCTAAAACAATACCTGGTACCAAGAGTTGCCCAGTAAACAGTTTCCAAATGAGTGAATGAATGACTTTTAACAGGAAAAAAATCATGTTCTGATGTAAAAAGTTATTGCCTTAATCAGTTTTATATATTTTTTTTTTTTTTGAGACAGAGTCTCACTGTCTTGCCCTGGCTAGAGTGCCGTGGCATCATCGTAGCTCACAGCAACCGCAAACTCCTGGGCTCAAGC